TCCAGAATACATCTTTGCACTCTAAAGCTTACAAACTACTGCACCAATCACTCTGTCATAACAGGCTTATTCTCACTAGCTTTGGGTCTCTGCTCCTTCGGTTTCTGCTCTTCCATTTTCCTGAAATGTCAAACAAGTCACATCCATATGTCAGAAATATTACATGAGAAAATCTATGCTGCATTCTTAGCTTGGGTCATAATGAAGAAAGAAAGATAAATGAATTCCTACAGCCACTTGGTAAACGCAAATCGATGAATCCCACAGCAGCAAGCAGACAACATTATTATAAATTAAAGAATGGTACCACCATAGCCAAAAAAAACATAAATATTATCTCCTAGCAAGAAGTAGAAGCTCTAGGACACATTATAGCACTTGACAAAAAGTTAAAGATGCATCACGTATAGCAGGAATGAGCGACAGAAGGAAAGATGAGACATGAGCTTCTCTACTTTCACATGCAATAATGCTCTTGACTTCTTAACTCCAGAAGCAACCAAAGAAAAAGGTATCTCTACATGGTTTTTTAATAGAAAATGAGTATGCTTATATTCTGCCAATAACATCTATACACGTCCAACAATCAACAGATTTCAATTTCATAAAGAACACAAACACAATCCAGACAAAAGGACAGAAATATGCCATTTCGACAGAGAATGAACCACCAGAAAAATCAAGGATAATTGAAAAATATTCAGGAAGGGGCTCTTCAAAGCAAAAAAAGTTTCAGAAAGTTGGGCATTTATGTTGGGTACCCCTCCATTACAACAATATGAGGACTAAAATTGATTTTCAAATAAAATACAGGGATTGAATTATTAACAGAAAGGTTATTAAGAGGCAAATAATAGAGAATGCGCTCCTCCTATTTATATTACACCTATTCTGCATTTTCGGTGAGATAAAACTGACAAAGATGATTATATATGTATCAATAGAGAATGAAAACAAAGGAAAACAACATCATAAATTCAATCTTAAAACGCATCCAAATACTCAATCTACATCTGGGTATCTTCCCACAGTAAAAAACCTTTTCCCCCAATTTCGTCCCACATTTCATTTTTTACATGTTTTCGGATGCGGATGCGATTGCTTTCGGAGAAAAAAATCAAGATACTACCAGCTAGGTTACATGTTTTCTTTGAATGACGAAGCAAAATGATAGTTTAAAAAAAAATCAAGGATTCCAGGTAGCAATAACCCCCCAAAAAAAAAAAACACAAATCGAGTAATTTTCAGGTTCTACTCAATCGATTCAAAAGCCAATATCCACAAGTCCCGGATAACGCAATACCTAAGAGCCTAACATACAAAATTTTTACTCAAACAAAAGACCAAACACATTAGAAGATTATACCAATTAAAAAAGCACCATAGCTGAAGAACATAAGTATACGTTTACATAGAGAGAGAGAGAGAGAGGGAGAGACCTTTTGTCAGAGGAGCCACCCTTCTGGCTGAGGAACGAACGGAAGAGAGGGGAATTGACGTCGTAAATCATCGGTGTGTACGTGTTGGTCTACGCTCGAGAGAAAACCCTAAACCTCGCGAAAACTGAAGAGCGTATGGCGAAAGGTATAAAGTTGCCTTATATGTTGCGACATTTATAATAATAAACTTGTTAATTTCACATTGACCCATCCTTTTGTTTTATTTTAAATTAGTCCCTATTTTTCAAGCTTAACTCGTACCCAATTGTTTTTATTTTTGTTTCGGTTAGATCCTCGTGTCAAAATTATTAGGTATTTGTTCTCATCTTCTTAAAAGTCTTCGCATTCTTATCCTTTTCTTTATTTTGAAATTAAAAAAAAAATCAAAAATAAAAAGATAAATGTATAAATTACAATTTATTTTAATTTTTGCTATGCAAATTACACGATATTGATCGTTTTACATAAATACAATGAATCTATTATCTCAAAAGTTTAATCTTGTAATATAAGTTATAGATCGAGCGAGTTGCCCGTTGGTTGGCTAACAAATACTTGTTACCCCTCCTTTCCTTCTCGAAACAGGCCTTGAAGGTGTTTTACTCCATCCAAATTTACTAGTCTCCCGCGAGTGAAAATCCAACGAAATTCAAAGATATTATAGCAATCCATGGATGGTTTCTCCCACCTACAAGTCTCGTGCTCCAATTATTACCGACGTAAAATGCTAAAAAAGTTCCGAAATCATAAAGAAAGACAGGTGAGACTAGAAGAATCATGCAGTTAATTTACAACTATATCCAAAAGGGCCAAACAAATGTTGCACCCTATTTTACAACATTACAGTCAATGTCTATGATCTACAAACATTATGACAAAGTCATGTTTTGGATTGGAGGGCCAACCAGATAGAAATGCCTGGTGGGAAGCCTGTGAGTTTATGAAATTAGGGACACAAGAGAGACAAACTCAAGTGTCACTCGGCCTTTAGACCTTGTGTTGATAACAAAATGTTCCGGATATTTTCTCAGCAACATAAGCAGGCCATACCACGGCTTTCC